GGGGGGGGGGGGGGGGGGGGGGGTATTATTATAGCAGCTTGTGGGAAAAGGTAATCTCTGTGCTGGGGGGTATTCCATACCCCCAGACCCCCCGGTGGTATGCTGTTCCCCAAAACGTCCAATTTTTAAAAGGAAAATGTGGTGGCACTGTCTACAAACTAATCATAAGCATACGCCAATAATTATTCAAGACATTTTGGGGGGGGGGAGCGTACCACCGGGGGGTCTGGGGGGTATGGAATACCCCCCAGGACAAAGACGTATTTGCTGGCCCTTTGCAGAATACTATTATAGCAGCTTTTAGGAAAAGGTAATCTCTGGGCTGGTGGGTATTCCATATCCCCCAGACCCCCCGGTGGTATGCTGTTCTCCAAAACGTTCAATTTTTAAAAGGAAAATGTGGTGGCACTGTCTACAAAATAATCATAAGCATACGCCAATAATTATTCAAAACATTTTGGGGGGAGAGCGTACCACCGGGGAGTCTGGGGGGTTCCATACCCCCCAGGACAAAGACGTATTTGCTGGCCCTTTGCAAAATACTATTATAGCAGCTTTTGGGAAAAGGTAATCTCTGTGCTGGGGGGTATTCCATATCCCCCAGACCCCCCGGTGGTATGCTGTCCCCCAAAACGTTCAATTTTTAAAAGGAAAATGTGGTGGCACTGTCTACAAAATAATCATAAGCATACGCCAATAATTATTCAAAACATTTTGGGGGGAGAGCGTACCACCGGGGGGTCTGGAATACCCCCCAGGACAAAGACGTATTTGCTGGCCCTTTGCAAAATACTATTATAGCAGCTTTTGGGAAAAGGTAATCTCTGTGCTGGGGGGTATTCCATACCCGCCAGATCCCCTGGTGGTATGCTGTTCCCCAAAACGTTCAATTTTTAAAAGGAATATGTGGTGGCACTGTCTACAAACTAATCATAAGCATACGCCAATAATTATTCAAAACATTTTGGGGGGAGAGCGTACCACCGGGGGGTCTGGGGGGTATGGAATACCCCCCAGGACAAAGACGTATTTGCTGGCCCTTTGCAGAATACTATTATAGCAGCTTTTGGGAAAAGGTAATCTCTGTGCTGGGGGGTATTCCATACCCCCAGACCCCCCGGTGGTATGCTGTCTCCAAAACGTTCAATTTTTAAAAGGAAAATGTGGTGGCACTGTCTACAAAATAATCATAAGCATACGCCAATAATTATTCAAAACATTTTGGGGGGAGAGCGTACCACCGGGGGGTCTGGGGGGTTCCAATACCCCCCAGGACAAAGACGTATTTGCTGGCCCTTTGCAAAATACTATTATAGCAGCTTTTGGGAAAAGGTAATCTCTGTGCTGGGGGGTATTCCATATCCCCCAGACCCCCCGGTGGTATGCTGTCCACCAAAACGTTCAATTTTTAAAAGGAAAATGTAGTGGCACTGTCTACAAAATTATCATAAACATATGCGAATAATTATTCAAAATATTTGGGGAGGGGGGAGCGTACCACCGGGGGGTCTGGGCGACTTGGCATCTCGTACGAGATTCCCATTGTGACAATGAAAAAAACTCACCCTGTATTATTATCATTTTTTACCACCTGCAATACTTAGTACAGGCATAAGAGAGATCCTAGGAGAGATCTACAAATCACCGCCAACGTTTTAAGTCGATACGATACACACTTTTCTTGGGCATCGAGCAATCGAGTTTGGTCTTTTTTTCTAAAAACATTGGTGTATAAATAAGGGCAATAAAGTGATGGATACTAAAATTAATTCTTGATGGTTGTCCATCTGGAACCATAAGCTTTCTTATAGCGACAACTAGAAGTCGATAAGTTCTTCTTCTACATAAATAACGATTTTGATATTTTTTGTGAACAAAAATACACATGGACCGCTTCTTAGGCATTGCGTAATTGAATTTCCCAAGAGAATCGATGCATAAATAACAATTTTAACATTCTTTAGATAAAAATATTTTGGTCGCCAAAAATAGACATGTATCATTTCTTGGTCATCGAGTTTGATCGTTTTCCCAACAAAATTGGTGCATAAATAATAATTTTGACCAAATTAGAGAAGGGGCGATTCCTGCAAAAGGTGGTGTAAACGATTTTATCGTTTTAAATGGTCCATTTGGGTCCAAATAACATGTATTTGAAGAGTACACACCCATTTTCTCCTGGCACAACTTTTGGCAGCCAAAAAAACCTCAAAATCTCCGGATTTTTTTTCAGTTTTTCGCTTAAAACTCGAAAACGGTCCATATTTTATATGAATAACACTTCTTTAGTAAGTATATTAAAGAAAACACAATTCTGCGTCGATCAAAAGTAAAAAGATGAACAAACAAACAAGTAAGGAGCCACAACGAATTAAAAAAAAAGGTTAACTCATTTTTGTTTAGGAAAGTTGGAAAAAATCGGTGTTCTTTGATCGCTTGTAAAAATTTTTCTATTGGACCGATTTTGTTTGTTCATCTTTTGATCGCCGCAGAATTTTGTTTTCTTTAATTCACTAAATAAGTGCTATTCATTAAATTTGCACCGTTTTCGAGTTTTAAGTGAAAAACTAAAGTCCAAACATTTTGAGATTTTGTGCTGGATTTTTTGCAGTCTTCAAATTTTATTGTTTTAAGTCCCCTCCCCCCATGAATTGTTTTTCGAGATGCTGTTTGGAAGTAAAGGGTGCATAATATTCATTTGCGTCTTTTTGTGTCAGATTTTGTATACGGCTGGCAAAGAAAATTTTTGAAAATGGGAGGTGGGGTAATCACACTTTTTACCGTTCATGGTAGTCTAATGAAAGGTTTCATCGAAAGGGATTGGTTTCTACCACTTTCCTTCGGGACTGCTTTTAGAGATAAGAGAGTGACGTGGGAAGACGGAGGGGGGGGGGAGCGAAATGTTTTTACCTTTCATGGTAATCTGATTAAAGGTCTCAACGGAAGGAACTGTTCCCTATCAACTACAGCCCTTTTCACCCACATTTTATTAGAGTTGGGGGGGGGGGGGTTTAACCGGTTCTCCTCGGCCCTTTATCGTGATCGGTGATAATTTCTTATATCCTAAGAACGTAGTGTCGGAGGAGAGTACTCAACAAAGGGCGATTGGGATATCTACACAAAACTACAAATATAATCGTTGAATAGTGAAAATATAACGCGATAATAATGCCATCTTTGCTGTAGTGGCTGAACTACGAAACAGTACGTACTCCTTCAATTTTACAATTAATGAACGTGGATGTGCGTCTCCGCTTCATGGTATTTTGTATCTCGCAATTCCAACAATTACGACAAAATGGTGCAATATGATTACAAATAAAGTATATTAGGTTCAACACTGAACCTTCTAGATGAATATCAGATAATATTCCGGCGGTCTTAAGCTCTTCAGAAGAGACATAGGCTAAAACCATACACGTAAATCCCTATGTCTACTTCTTACTAACTATAAAAGGCTTAATAATAAAAATGTGTTAACATACCATTTGGTTTATTGCTCCGACAGGGGAAGGCATCATGTGGTTCACGCTGGGAACGGGCGACATCAGCGGATTTTGAGCGGGCGCAAAATTCGCCTGGCTGTGCGCGCCGGGGCTCGGCATCGGCTTGTGCGCGTCCTGCCAAGGAATCGCGTTAAAATCGCCGGTGTGCGTGTCGGCGACCTGATTCAGATAGTGGACCATCTCGTCCGGTATCACCAGCTTATTCTCGACCATCTCCCCCTCCCCGACCTCATCCAGCACGACCGCTTGGTTCGGATGAAGCTCGCCGGAGTTGACGGTCCCCTTCAGCGGCGACAGCGAAACCGAGGCGGGCCTAGGAGGCGGACTCTTTCGTTCGGTCATCACGTGACACGGTTCGGACATGCGCCGCGAGTCGGTGCTGGTGTCGGTGCCTTCGGGTAACTTCGACAGCCAAGTTTGTTGTATCGCCGTTTGCTGTAGCGAGACATTTTGAGGCTGAAACCAACGCGTTAAGCAACTTCTCTCAAGGACTCGCCTATAAAATATGCTTTTAAAAAAATCAGAAGACCCTCCAATGACTTCCCACAACAAAACTTTTTTAAGTGTTCTCCCAAGTCCTGAATCGTGAAATAAGCCTGGAACCTTGGATCTAAAAGGATAACTGCCGAGTCTTGAGCCTTCAAAACTTCATTAATCTGAATCCACTGAACTTCAGACTCGCATTTTGAACCTTGGATCTTAGTGACCATTATGACTTGAACCTGAATCGTGAATATTAAACCTTGAGCAATAAACCGGAGTATTAAATCTAGAATGCTTGAGCCTTAACAATTTCCTCAATTTAAATCTTCTGAATCTTAAAGACTCACGTTTTGAACCTTGAATCATAAGTGATGATCGGCGAGTCTTGAACCTTAAATCTGGAAGGACCACTGCCGAGCCTTGAGCCGTGGCACATAAGCCTTGAGTCCTGAATCGTGAATATTAAATCTAGAACGCTGAACCGTGAGACTTCTGAATTTACTGAACCTTGAATCATAAATGATGACCGCCCAGTCTTGAACCTTGAATCTAAAAGGACAAGCGCTGAGTTTTGAGCCTTTAAAACTTTTTTAATCTGAATCCACTGAATATTACGGCGTGCGTTTTGAACGATGGATCATAAATGATAAAACCTTCGCATCTCAAGGTTCAATCCTTGAAACATAAGCCTTCAGCTCCGAATCGTGAACGTAGTACGTTGAACCTTGAGCATTCAGAACTTCTTAAATCTCAGTTAATTGAATCTTAAGACTCGCGTTTCGACCTTGAATCGTAAACGATGACCCCCAAGTTTTGAACCTTGACACACAAAACTTGAATCATGAATACTAAATCTAGAAAGCTGATTCTTGAGCTTTCAAAGCTGTTTCAATTCGAATCCACTGAATCTTAAGACTTGCGTTTTCAGTCTTGTATCTTAAACATGACAGTCTAGTGTTGAGCCTTGACACATGAACCTTGAGCACTAAGGCTTCTTAAATCGGAATCTACTGAATATTAAGACTCGTATTTTGAACCTTGCATCGTAAATGTTGACCGTCAAGGCTTGAACCTTGACACTTGAGCCTTGAACCCAGAATAGTAAATATATAAATCTAAAACCGTGAGCCTTAAAAACCTCCTTAACCTGAATCAACTGATTCCCGTTTGAGCCTTGTATCATAAACGATGACCGTCGAGTCTCGAACCTTGACGCATGAGCCTTGAACCATGAATGATGAATATTAATTCTAAAACGCTAAACCTTGAGTCTTTCAAACTTCAATCTGAATCCACTGAAACTCGCCGACTCGCGTTTTGAGCTTTGAATCATCAATGATGACCATCGAGTCATGAGCCTTGAGCTTCGAATCGTGAATCTAACACGCTGTATCTTGAGCCTTCAAAATATCTTCAATCTAAGTCGATTGAATGTTAAGATTAGCGTTTAACCCTGAATCTTAAATGATGAGCGTTGAACCTTGGCAAATAAACTTTCAGCCTTAAATCGTGAATATTAAATCTAGACCGCCAGATCTTGAGCCTTCAAACCTTCTCTAATCTGAATCCTCAGCCGGGAGTTTTGAACTTTGATTCTTTAAATGATGACCGTCAAGTCTTGAACTTTGACACATGAGCCTTGATCCTCCGAATCTTGAATATTAAATCTTGAACCTTCAAAAATTCTTCAACCTAAGTGCACTGAATCTGTAGACTCGCGCTTCGAACCTTGAATATTCAATGAGGATCGTGAAGCCTTGAACCTTGACACATAATCATTGAGTACTGAATTGTAAATATTACTAGAAAGTTGAATCCTGAGCCTTCAAAAGTCCTTCAATCTGAATCCACTGTTTTGAACCTTGAATCATAAATAAAAACGGCCGAGTCTGCCTTGGCACATGAGCCTTAAGTCCTGGATTTTGGACATTAAATCTAAAAAAATCTGAATCTTGAACATTCAAAACATCATCTGAGTTCACTGAATATTAAAACTCGCGTTTTGAACCTTGAATCTAAAAAGATAACCGTCTTGGATCTTGGGCCCTGGCACATGAGCCTTAAGTTCTGGATCGTGAATATTAAATTTAAAACGCTGAATCTTCACTCTTCAAAACTTCTTCGCTCTGATAATCCACTGAACTGTTTTGAACCTTGATTCATAAATGATCACCATCGAGTCATAAACCTTGACACATGAGCCTTGAACTATGAATAGTAAATATTAAATCTAAAACAATGAACCATATGAGCCTTAAACACTTCTTAAATCTGAATTCACTGAATCTTAAGACTCACGTTTTGAGCCTTGAATGATAAGTAGCGACCGCCGATTCTTAAACCTTGACACATGCGAACTCTGAGCCTTGAATTCTGAATATTAAACGCTGAATTTGAACTTTCAAAACTTCTGCAATCCACGAAATCCTCTCGCGTTTTGGACCTTGAACCTTGAATTATGACCGTTGAGTCTTGAAGCTTGAGCGCTAAATCGTTAATATTAAATCTCCAACGCTAGATCTTGATTCTTCAAACTATTAATCTGAATCAACTAAATCCTAAGACTCGCGTTTTGAACCTTGAATCTTAAATGATCATCGTCGAGTCTTGAACCTTGAGCCCTAAACCGTGAATATTAAATATCGAACGCTAGATCTTGAGGCTTCAAACCTTTCATATGAATGCACTGCGTCGCAACCCTCGCATTTTGAATCCGAATGTTGACCGTCGAGTGTTGAGCCTTGAGTCACAAATCGTGAATCTAGAACGCTGATTAAGCCTTCAAAACTTATGCAATCTGAGTGCACTTAGTGTTAAGACTCTCGTTTTGAACGTTGAATCTAAAAGGATAACCGCCTAGTCTTGGGCCTTGGGACATGAGCCTTAAGTTTTGGATCGTTAATATTAAATTTAGAAAGCCTTCAAAACTTGTTCAATCTGGGTGCACTTGAATCTCAAGATCTTAAGATCTTAAATGATGACCGACGTTTGACTCTCCGACCCTTAAATTTTGCTGAACCGTGCGTCTTGAGCCTTTAATGTGATCTTCAATCTGGAGTCTTAAAACTCGAATCTTCAGAATTGAGCCGTCAATATTAAACTTGTTTCTTAAATACTGTCCTTTAGCCTTGTTCCTTGCTACTTGAATCATGAATAACGAACCTTCTTGAACCTTCAACATTGACTTCTTGAATCTTGTATTCTGAACCGCGAGCCTTGCATTTTGACTCTTCAATATTTGGTACTGAGTTGAATGATTCAAGCCTTGAGTTGATTCTTGAGTCCTACGCCTTTAGGCGGCATTGGCCTTGAATCATGAATCCTGAAATCCTGAACCAATCTGGAATTAGGAAGCTATTTTGGACCTTGAGCCTTGAACCTTTAATTCGGATTTAGAATCTCCACCTTTACAACATGAGTCTTGAATCTTAAATAACGAGCCTTGGATCAAGTTCAGATTTTTTTAAAGCATACGTCAGACACTTTCATTGTAACCCTTACCTGAAGCACCAGGTTTCCGTTTTGTGGTGAAGGCTGCAATCGCTGCAACTGCCCGACAAGCAAATGCGAAGGTGGGGATGGAGGCACGCTGATACCGCCACCGGTGGCGGTCGACAGTTGGCTGCTGCGCCTCGAACTGCCCGCCGATATCGGATCGTAGAACGATCCGCCGCCGGGACCCGGACGCATACTCGACGCCTGCGACGCCAAGCTACTCTTCCGGCTCATGTCGGCGCTGCGCATGCTGCCGTAATAGGAACTAACCGTCGAGTTGCTGTCTCGACGAATCTGCGCTTGGGTGCCGCCGGGAGGCTGAAGTCTCTGCTGCAATTCGGTAAGTTGGGTTTTGGTCTGCGGCGCAGCCTCGACCTTCAGGTCGGTGATGCGACGATTGATCTCGGTTATGCCGATGTTCTTGCGGGTGACGGGGGGCAGCGAGGGAAGCGAGCCGGGTTTCGCCTGCAGACGCGCCTTGACTCGATTACGTACGGCCTGATTGCTGAGGGCCGCGACGCTGCCACGATCCGTTCCGATGCCCACCATCGCACGTAGAACTTCAGGCAGATCTTCAATCTGTGACGGTGAACAATTTTAGGTTGCATTTCAAAAAGTGAGACTTTAACAGCAAGAGCAGATACAATAAAGATAGTACCTCCAAGTCCTCGGCGTCGTAAGGCCACGCGGGATCGTCGATCGGATTTCTTTGCAGGGCAGGAACTTCGGCCGTTAGATCATCGTGACATCCGCCCGCCAGATGAGTCGCCCCCAATGGCGATCCTTGCTGTTGTTGTCCGGGCGAGTTGACATCGGACTGAAAAGATGTATTTTAGCCTAACTTTCAAAAATTGACCCAGGAGCATAAAAATTGTACCAGGTTCAGAGAAAAATCTAAAAGTACCTCTGATTTAATGCTCGGACTACTGAGGCTCGTCGTCTTGTGACTCTGCATGTCCTCGCTGCGCGGACTCGAATCGATTCCGGCCGATCCGTCGTCGTGCGGTCCGTCGATGCCCTTGTGCTTCTTGTTCGCGTAGAATTCGGCGCCGTGAACGGTTTTGACGTGTTTGCGCAGCGAGCTGGGATCGGTGTAGCGCTTGGTGCATCCGGGCGCCTTGCACACGTACGGTTTCTTTTGGGGCGAGAGACACTTACTGTTAGAACTGAAGCCGAACGGCTCGAGCTACTCACCTCGTTGCTGTGAGTCCGATTCTGGTGTTTGGCTCGATCCGACGCGTTGCTAAACGCCTTGGAGCACCCGGGATACTCGCAGGTGTAGGGTTTCTCGCCGGTGTGCGATCGTAGGTGAGTTTTCAAATTTTCCAGTCTTGAGTACGCCTTGTAGCAGCCTTCGAACTGTAAGCGAAAAATTCCGTACCGTCATTTTTTGGTATATTTACGTCGATGACGTCAGATGACGTAAAAGTGACACATTTAACGTACGTCACTTTCTGACTTACCGTGCACTTGTGTGGTTTTTCCCCAGTGTGTCTGCGCATGTGCACCACCAGCATATATTGAGCTTTGAACGGTTTCTCGGCGCGCGAGCACCCCTCCCATCTGCAGACGAACGATTTCTTGTTCGCGTGAATGTGGTCGTTGTTGATGTGCTTGACGAGGTCGTCCTGAGTGGGAAACTCGGTCGCGCAGTCCTTCCAGTGGCAGTTCGTCTCGATGAAGTCGCCCGGCTCGTCCTTCAGATCGGCCTGGTCGCCCTGAGCGTCGCAGGTCGTGATGCAGGCGTCCTTTTTCGACCGCGCCTTGTTGCGATTCGCATCGGCGTCGAGCGTAATTAAGTTCGAGGTTTCCGATTTTTTTCGTTCGCTTAAAATCTACGAAAACGATTAATCTTCGAACTCAAAAGCGGGGAGGACTACTTACATCAGTCTTTGGAATATTCTGACCAGTCGATGTGTGAAGCGGATGGTGAGGAAGCGAGTACATGGGATGGGGCGGCGCGGGCGCCGGAGGTAGCGGAAGCAGCGAACCGGCGCTTCGGATGAGATGCGCCTGGAGCTGCTGCAGGTGCATGCTGGGGTGCACGGAGCTGAGCGCCGGACTGATGGCGCCCGCCGAGAGGTGCCCGTAGGAACCGCTCGCGCTCGACGACCTTGAGCCATTCACTATCGAGGCTAGAGAGTTCGGCGAGAAACGTATCATCGAATTGATGTCGAACGAATCCGAGTACGGCGAGGATGAGAGCGCCCTCTTGCGGGACTGTCTCAAACTGTTCGGGCGTGGGCTGCTTATTCGAGACCCTGAAAAACACACAAAATTGATTCAAGTTCGTCTCGTACCTCTACACCTCTCAATTAGGTGCTTATGCACATTTTTCACACACTTTTCTTTTATAAGTTTTCTGAAAAATCTCGAAACTTTGTCAAAATCATCGAGAAATCTAATCTAATTTGTGCAGATACGCGCATTTTTTAAAGCGAAATAGCTTTTGTTTTGACATAACCAATGGATATATTTCTTTGAGACGTCTCAATTGCCCTTTGTGAGTACCCCCTTCCGACAATCCGCTCTTGAGGTATAAGAGAATATATCCGAACACGATAAGAGGTCGAGGAGGAGGGGTATGGTTGGTAGAAATTAATTCCTTTCCTTGAAACCTTTCATTAGAGTACCATGAAGAATAAAACTAGTTCCACCCCCCTTCCTCCCTACTCGTACTTTGATAAGAGGACAGAAAGAAAGGGCAGTAGTTGGTAGAAAACGGTTCCTTTCGTTGAAACCTTTAATTAGAATACAATGAGAGATAACATTAATTTTTAAGCCCCGGTGTAAGCTGTCTGTAATACCCCCCAGTAAAAAAGGTACGATGGCCATACCCCCCGGAAAAAGAAAGTCAATATTCATTTCCCTATTTTGTATACTGGGGAGTATTCCATACCCCCCAGACCCCCCGGTGATACCTTCACCCCAGAACGTTAGGGCGTAAAGACTTTTTTCAAAAATTACGGTGTAAGCTGTTTGGAATACCCCCCAGTAAAAAAAGTACGATGGTCATCCCCCCGCCCCCCCCCCCCGAAAAAGAAAGTCAATGTTCATTTCCTATTTTGTATACTGGGGTTTTCCCATCCCCCCCAGACCCCCCGGTGATACCTTCACCCCCAGAACGTTAAAGCGTAAAACCTTCTTCCAAAAATTACGGTGTAAGCTGTCTGGAATACCCCCCAGTAAAAAAAGTACGATGGCCATACTCCCCAGGAAAAAGAAAGTCAATATTCATTTCCCTATTTTGTATACTGGGAGGTATTCCATACCCCCCAGACCCCCCGGTGAACCTTCACCCCCAGACTCTGGCGTTAAAGCCTTTTTTTTCAAAAATTACAGTGTAAGCTGTCTGGAATACCCCCAGTAAAAAAAGTACATGGTATTCCCCCCCCCCGGAAAAAGAAAGCCCAATGTCATTTCCCTATTTTGTATACTGGGGGTTTCCAGCCCCCAGACCCCCCGTTGATACCTTACCCCCAGAACGTAGGGCGAAAAGCCTTCTTCAAAAATTACGTGTGTAAGCTGTGTCTGGAGATACCCCCCAGGTAAAAGAAGTACGATGCCCACCCCCAGGAAAAAGAAGGTCAATATTCATCCCTATTTTGTATACTGGGGTTCCATACTCCCCGACCCCCCGGCGTCATACCTTCACCCCCAAAACCTTAACGCGTAGAGCCTTTTTTTAAATTTACGGGTGTAAGCGGTCGTAATTACCCCAGTAAAAAATGTACGATGGCCATGACCCCCTAGTGAAAAAGAAAGTCATTATCATTCGCCGATTTTGTTATATGTGGGTATTCCGACCCCCCGGTGTGAATACCTTCAGCCCCAGAACGTTAGGGCGAAAGCCTTTTTCAAAATACAGTGTAAGCTGTCTGATACCCCCAGTAAAAAAATCGATTGGTATTCCCCCCCCCCCCCCCCCCCCCCCAGGAAAAAGAAAGTCTTATTCATTTCCCTATTTTGATATGTACTGGGGGTATCTCCATCCCCCAGACCGCCCGGATACCTTCACCCAGAACTGTTAGGCGTAAAGCCTTTTCAAAAAATTACGGTGTAAGCTGTGCTGGAAATAACCCCACAGTTAAAAAAATACGATGTTATCCCCCCCCCCCCCCCCCCCAAAAATAGAAAGTCAATATTCATTTCCCTATTTTGTACTGGTGGTATTCCATACCCCCCAGACCCCCCCGGTGATACCTTCACCCCCAGAAACGTTAGGGCGTTAAAGCCCTTTTTTCAAATAATTACGTGTAAAGCTGTCTGGAATACCGCCCATAAAAAAAAAGTACGATGGCATTACGCCCCCCAGGAAAAAGAAAGTCAATATCATTTCCCTATTTTGTATTACTGGGGTTATCCATACCCCCAGACCCCCCCGTGTAGATACCTCACCCCCAGGACGTGTAGGGCGTAAAGCCTGTTTTTTTCAAAAAATTACGCGTGTAAGCTGTCGTGGGAATACCCCCAGTATAAAAAAGTACGATTTTATTCCCCCCCCCCCCCAGGAAAAGAAAGTTCAATATTCATTTCCCTATTTGTTTATACGCGGGGTATTCCCATACCCCAGACCCCCCGGTGATTACCTTCACCCAGGAACGGTGGCGTAAAGCCTTCTTTCAAAAATTACGGTGTAAGCTGTCTGGAATACCCCCCAGTAAAAAAAGTACGATGGCCATACCCCCCAGGAAAAAGAAAGTCAATATTCATTTCCCTATTTTGTATACTGGGGGGTATTCCATACTCCCCAGACCCCCCGGTCATACCTTCACCCCCAAAACCTTAACGCGTAGAGCCTTTTTTTTTAAATTTACGGTGTAAGCGGTCTGTAATACCCCCCAGTAAAAAAGGTACGATGGCCATACCCCCTAGGAAAAAGAAAGTCAATATTCATTTCCCTATTTTGTATATGTGGGGTATTCCAGACCCCCCGGTGATACCTTCACCCCCAGAACGTTAGGGCGTAAAGCCTTTTTTTCAAAAATTACAGTGTAAGCTGTCTGGAATACCCCCAGTAAAAAAAGTACGATGGTATCCCCCCCCCCCCCCCGGAAAAAGAAAGTCAATGTTCATTTCCCTATTTTGTATACTGGGGGGTTTTCCATGCCCCCCAGACCCCCCGGTGATACCTTCACCCCCAGAACGTTAGGGCGTAAAGCCTTCTTTCAAAAATTACGGTGTAAGCTGTCTGGAATACCCCCCAGTAAAAAAAGTACGATGGCCATACCCCCCAGGAAAAAGGTCAATATTCATTTCCCTATTTTGTATACTGGGGGGTATTCCATACTCCCCAGACCCCCCGGTCATACCTTCACCCCCAAAACCTTAACGCGTAGAGCCTTTTTTTAAAATTTACGGTGTAAGCGGTCTGTAATACCTCCCAGTAAAAAAGGTACGATGGCCATACCCCCTAGGAAAAAGAAAGTCAATATTCATTTCCCTATTTTGTATATGTGGGGTATTCCAGACCCCCCGGTGATACCTTCACCCCCAGAACGTTAGGGCGTAAAGCCTTTTTTCAAAAATTACGGTGTAAGTGCTGAGAATGCTAAACATTTTGCGGTAGAATGTAGAACCGGGGGTATTGGGGGTGGTGGATATGGTTAGCCCCCTCCACGCCCCACCTACATCATGGGAACTTGAGAACTTACGAATCTTCGGGGGGAGGGGGGGGGGGCAATATTTTGGAAGTGAATACTCTGGTCGCGCATATAATTGAAAGAGATATTCTTTAGCCACGAATATGAGGAGTTTCTGCGGGTGCATTTCAACGAATGCACCCGCATAAACTCCTTGCCGAGATAATTAAAACTCATCTCCCCAAATTTACATGACATACAGAGTGAGTCAATAAAGGTACCTATCCAAAGATACTTGCATTTGTGATTACTCCTACAAGTTAGATAGCGTAACTTACGCCGGTCTACATTACGCAGTAGAATAATGGTTGCGAGAGACTTTTATTACACCACCACCTGTATATTATGTATACGGTGATATACAAGTAGAAGTAGACATAGGGATTTTCGATGTCTACTTTCAAATGATAAAAAGTCTTCTGAAGGACACTTAATTTTATGCAACCAAAATAACTTCTTGAAACAAATAAAGATCTGGCTGTCATATTAATTAGAAAATTACAATAAGGAAGTCAAAGCGATAATATTCAAATTAATTAATATGACAGGCAGATCTTCATTTGTTGTAGGTAGTGATTTTGGTTGCATAAAGTTAGGCGTCCTTCGGAAGACTTTTTATCATTTGAAAGTAGACATAGGAAATTCCTATGTCTACTTCTACATGAATATCACTGCATCACTAATTTCTCATAAAATTTGATCTCCTTACCATCCAAGCTGAACGGAAAATCGCTGCTGGCCAACGTCGAGTTCGGATGCAGTTCGGTAAGGCCCCGCGCCGTCAGGTACTCAGGAGAAAGGCCGAGGCCTGCTGCAACAAACAGAACAAAAATTAGCGCAATTTCCGCGCATTTGGCATAGCCGTCAAAAATAGTAGCGCGCGAACCACGCGACGAATTCAATCGGAGAGACAATGAACGGACGATTGCGCTCGAAAAATCGTCGCAAGGCACGCTTCAGATGGGCGACTGGACGGACAGATGTGTATGACGTATGTTTCTTATTACACCCAATATTCGGGATGTTTAAAATTAACACGCATCTACCAACGCACTCGGGATATAAATCTTAAAATAGAGAAGAGGGCAACGGATCATTAAGTAAATCGTCGGGAATTCCTGCCGCCATCACCTATTTTACTCACATCCGTTTTGATAATGATAGTAATAATAATCACGTTGATAACACGGGCGAGAAGGGATGAACTGTCTTTGTGTTAAAAAACAGAAGACCCCGCTGTATACATCTGGTTAGAGTATAAAATCTATTTCGGTTGGATTTTATGAATGCTAGGACTATTAAACCCGCCAGCGCCCTCTGGTGCCAGGGCCGGACTCGACAGCGAAATTCCCACATTAAATGGCCCCTTTACAGTGTCGTTTGCAGCATAAAAGATTTCTATAAGTATGCATGGGAGACCAAATGGTCCACGGTTTTTCGTTTGGGCTCGTCCTCTTTCTGTTGACTTTTCCTTGTTCTTTTTTCTTTGATTTCCTTTTTTCATTAAGCGCTCTCCTCTTCCCCCTTTGTCTAATATTCCTTTTCTGTTTCTTTTCGATCTTTGTACCCGTCAACATTTTCATATCACATGATCTGTTCTCCTCTTTCCCACCACACAGTTAGCATTTTCTATCTTCTTCTTCCCTCCGATTTTTTACTAGGTCGCATTCCCTTTATCTATTCTTATTCTTTGTTTTTCGTCCACTGTGTAGTTTAGTCTTCTTTCGTTTATGTGCAATACACACTTGTACTCCTTACTGTTCTTCATCATTTTCCATACCTTTTCCCTTACTAGCCACGATTGCTTCTGTCGCTTTTCTTCCTTTCCATGTCCCTATTAGCTTTCTCAATCTCTCCTTGTTACTTGTTATTCTTTCATCGCCCTTGCTCTCTTTTGAGCCTTTTAATTGCCGTTCCCTCTCTACCCTTGATATCTCTGTCCCTTCCTCCTCATCTCCACCCTCGCGTCGTCTCCTTTTTTGTTTTCCTTGTTATACTTTGAGTACTTCTTCCCACCTCTTCCCCTTCTTTCTTTTTCGACCAGTTGTTCTGTCCTATTTTTCTCTTCCGTACAATCGCCCCCCCCCCCCCATTTTTTTCTTGCACGTCTCGCGAATGTTCTATGCTGTCTTTTTCATCCTCTATACTTGCAGCGTTCTTTCTCGCACCCCCCCCCCCCTGTCTATGTTTTCCCTTATTCCTTAATTTATTTTTTTACACCACCTTTCGCATTTTTTCATGTTTTCATGTTACTACCTCCGTCACGTACCCACGACATAATCTGCATCATGCCCTCTTCCTCTTGCATTGTCGATTTCCGCCTCATTTCTCTCTCCGCATACATGACGTTCTCTCTAAACCCCGCCCCTTGTTCTCCTATCTTCTTTCTCGGTTCATCTTTCTTCTTTCACGGTCCACCACATATCCAATCCTTCGTTGTACCTTCCTCCTCTTCCATACTCTTCGTAATTTCCGTCTTCTTTCAGTCATCCATTGTCATTTGTCTCTTTCTCTCTCTTTTCCTGCTGGATGTATTTCACATCCACCTAGGCTACGTTCTCTACCAAAACCTTTAGGTCCTTAAAGACTCATTGGCGTTTTGAGAAAGGGTCATTAAATCTTCTTTTGTTGGACGTAACTCCATACCATGAGACATTAGTGTTGGGTACTTTAAGGTAGAATGTACCATCGGGAGCCTATGAAATCCCCCTCAGGAACACATACCATGAATAGTTTTTCCGCTACTATAAGATCTTCGTTTGCTGGGGGGAAAGATCCTTGGAGATTCTTTGAAGATCTTAAAGAGTCGGCTCTGACAGTTAGTAGAGGGCCCCTTTGCGACATGTTACTGTTAAACGATCAAAGAATAAAGCATCTAGATTCTAGAAGGCTCGCAGATACTTTTTCAACCCCTTGGAGACTGTGTGCGACACTTTTAAAAACCCACACAAACTGAAGGACGCTTAAAAGCCTTTAAAGGGCCTTCAAGACAAACCACTTTAAACGCTCTCAAAGTATATTAAGACATTCAAACACTCGATAGACTAAGGGACGGTTAAATGCTTTAAAAGGAGACCCTTGAAGCCCTTGGTTTAAAGATTTTTGAAAGATCTCGCGTGTGAAAGATCATAAGAGCCTTTCGAAATTCAGATATCAATGCTCTTAAAGATTATTAAAATCTCTTAAGGACACTTAAAAGAAGCCTGTACAATCTCTAAAGGTCACTAAACGTCTGTAGAGACCATTTGGTGATTCATTAGTTCTTAGTTCTTAGAAAGGCTTGTAAAATTTCTTGAAATCTATTAAAGAATCTCAAAGGCTTTTAAAGAATCTAAAGTCTCAAGAAAACTTCAGCATGTTTATTTTTACGTTTGCAGAAGACCTGGGTCGGGGGGGGGGGGGGGAGGCGAGGGAGGAGGAGGGGTATTAAATAGATACTAACCTTTTCACGAAAGCAACTATCATTCTAGGTTTTGGGAAAAGGTAGTCGATTCTTCCTGTGTGCTGGGGGGTATTCCATACCCCCCAGACCTCCCGGTGTTACGCCCGCTCTTCCTTTCTAGGAAGTGACATCCAAATTTCTTTTCCTGTGAGATATTTAATACAAAGAGTTGTAAGGGGTGAACGTTTTGGGGGGAAACGTAGCACCGGGGGGTCTGGGGGGTATGGAATACCCCCCAGCACAGAGATTACCTTTTCCCAAAAGTTACTATAATAATATTCTACAAAGGGTCAGCAAATAGGTTTTTGTCCTGGGGGGTATTCCATACCCCCCAGACCCCCCCAGTGATACGCTCTCCCCCCAAAATGTTTTGAATAATTATTGGCATATGCTTATGATTATTTTGTAGAAAGTCCTTCCCTTTCTAGGAAGTGCCATCTAAATTTCTTTTCGTGTGAGATATTTAATACAAAGAGCTGTAAGGGTTAACGTTTTGGGGGGGGGAACGTAGCACCGGGGGGTCTGGGGGGTATGGAATACCCCCCAGCACAGAGATTACCTTTTCCCAAAAGTTACTATAATAATATTCTACAAAGGGTCAGCAAATAGGTTTTTCTCCTGGGGGTTATTCCATAACCCCCAGACCCCCCGGTGGTACGCTCTCCCCCCAAAATGTTTTCAATAATTATTGGCATATGCTTATGATTATTTTGTAAAAAGTCCTTCCCTTTCTAGGAAGTGCCATCTAAATTTCTTTTCGTGTGAGATATTTAATACAAAGAGCTGTAAGGGTTAACGTTTTGGGGGGGAACGTAGCACCGGGGGGTCTGGGGGGTATGGAATACTTCCCAGCACAGAGATTACCTTTTCCCAAAAGTTACTATAATAATATTCTACAAAGGGTCAGCAAATAGGTTTTTGTCCTGGGGGGTATTCCATACCCCCCAGACCCCCCCGGTGATACGCTCTCCCCCCAAAATGTTTTGAATAATTATTGGCATATGCTTATGATTATTTTGTAGAAAGTCCTTCCCTTTCTAGGAAGTGCCATCTAAATTTCTTTTCCTGTGAAATATTTTGGGGGGAACGTACCACTGGGGGTCTGGGGGATTACTAGCCTTTCACCAAAGCAACTATCATTGTAGTCTTCAAGAAGGGTGCTCAATTATTCCCGTTCCCCCAGTTTCGAACTTAGCATGGTGGTTGTTATAAACATTTGGGAAGTGAAAGTAGCACCCTCTAGGAAAGGAAGTTTACTAATCTTTTCCTCCTTTGTTGAGAGTATAAATCGGAGGAAATTGCGAAGATTCGCACAAATCCTAAAACTATTAGAAAACTGTCCATCCTGCCCGTGCCCGATAATTTTCAAGAGCTATTCTGTTGGTAACCAACAAATCTTAGCACGTGGTGGTGCCTAACCAATGTCGGTCCGTTTTAGAAAAAAAAATGTCAAACCACTTCCTCGTCAGTCCGACCCTGTCTGGTGCACTGGCCTTTTCGCACCACCACCACCAACAAGCACTTCCTTAATCGGGCTCATCAGAAGAGGCTCTCCATTCATAAGACGAAATACGAGCGAATGGATGCGGGCGGGTCGACAATGAACCCTTCATCATTTTAAATAGAAGGAAGATTATACGCGCGCATCCGGTGGTGCTTTAAAATACGAATTCCTCTATTTATAATTTTTACGGCGGCGCGGCGGGCGGCGAGAAAAATTCGGTAGCCGTCAACACGTCACGCGCATAAGTAAATGGGGAAAAAATCAACGCCGAGTACCTATATAAGAAAACATTCTCTACGAAAATAAACGGGAGAAATGGAACAAGCGCGAGCAAATAAACAAGAATGTATTAAAATAAGCTGCCTGATATTACAATATATACAGACAAAACAAACACGGCCGCTTGGTTAAATAAATCATTAATGCAGTTGCACTTAAGACTGACTTATCAAAAATTCTTTATACAAACAAACTAGAACGTTATTACATCATGTACTGAAATGTGTTGGACCGATGTTGCTGTCACGTTCACTTAGCGTCGTCTTCTGGTGACAGATCAAAATACTTTCGTGCCAATTTTTGTTTTCAATTCGTGAATTCAAAAGCTTAAAACATCAATGAAAACTTTGACCTTATTGTAACCATATTCATCGAATTTGCAAAGATAAAACTCGATTTCAATCAATAGATTTGAGACCGAAGAAGTTTGGGGTAAGGAATACGCTCCAGGGAAGGTAAAGAGAATGGCAATTGCTCGAAAACGTAAATTTTCCAATCTCCAAGTTCAGGCTCTTAATTCGTAAGTGATGGGGAAATTTTTCTCAAGGGGTTTGTCTACGCTCAGGCGTTTTTTTGTACATTTTAGACTCTTGGTGTAGCATGTCTTTAAAAGGGACCTCTGCAAAGGTCCGTTTCAAGAGATTCTGACCTTGAATTTTGAGAAACTTCTCATTTTTAAAGAAAATATTGTGCCCGTGTTGTTAAAATTTGCAATTGAGAATTCGGCACAGCCCTAGACAGAGTAGAAGTTATCCTAGGGTGATTTTTCTAAGCTGAACTGCTACCATGCCTAGGTTTGTGCCGAACTCGCCTTCGGCTCGCTCGGCAATTCCTCTAGAATTCTCATTTTTAAAGAAATCTAGTGTGCCCGTGTTGTTAAAATTTGCAATTGAGAATTCGGCACAGCCCTAGACAGAGTAGAAGTTATCCTAGGATGATTTTTCTAAGCTGAACTGCTACCATGCCTAGGTTTGTGCCGAACTCGCCTTCGGCTCGCTCGGCAATTCCTCTAAAATTCTCATTTTTAAGAAATCTAGTGTACGCGTGTTGTTAAAATTTGCAATTGAGAATTCGGCACAGACCTAGACAGAGTAGAAGTTATCCTAGGATGATTTTTCTAAGCTGAACTGCTACCATGCCTAGGTTTGTGCGGAACTCGCCTTCGGCTCGCTCGGCAATTCCTCTAGAATTCTCATTTTTAAGAAATCTAGTGTGTCCGTGTTGTTAAAATTTGCAATTGAGAATTCGTCACAGCTCTAGACAGAGTAGAAGTTTTCCTAGGGTGACTTTTCCTAAGCTGAACTTCTACCATGCCTCGGTTTGTGCCGAACTCGCCTTCGGCTCGCTCGGCAATCCCTCCAGAATTCTCATTTTTAAAGAAATCTAGTGTGCCCGTGTTGTTAAAATTTGCAATTGAGAATTCGGCACAGCCCTAGACAGAGTAGAAGTTATCCTAGGGTGATTTTTCTAAGCTGAACTGCTACCATGCCTAGGTTTGTGCCGAACTCGCCTTCGGCTCGCTCGGCAATTCCTCTAGAATTCTCATTTTTAAAGAAATCAAGTGTGCCCGTGTTGTTAAAATGTGCAATTGAGAATTCGGCACAGTCCTAGACAGAGTAGCAGTTTTCCTAGGGTGGCTTTTCCTAAGCTGAACTGCTACAATGCCTAGGTTTGTGCCGAACTCGCCTTCGGCTCGCTCGGCAATTCCTCTAGAATTCTCATTTTTAAAGAAATCTAGTGTGCCCGTGTTGTTAAAATTTGCAATTGAGAATTCGGCACAGCCCTAGACAGAGTAGAAGTTATCCTAGGGTGATTTTTCTAAGTTGAACTGCTACCATGCCTAGGTTTGTGCCGAACTCGCCTTCGGCTCGCTCAGCAATTCCTCTAGAATTCTCATTTTTAAAGAAATCTAGTGGGCCCGTGTTGTTAAAATTTGCAATTGAGAATTCGGCACAGCCCTAGACAGAGTAGAAGTTATCCTAGGATGATTTTTCTAAGCTGAACTGCTACCATGCCTAGGTTTGTGCCGAACTCGCCTTCGGCTCGCTCGGCAATTCCTCTAGAATTCTCATTTTTAAAGAAATCAAGTGTGCCCGTGTTGTTAAAATGTGCAATTGAGAATTCGGCACAGTCCTAGACAGAGTAGCAGTTTTCCTAGGGTGGCTTTTCCTAAGCTGAACTGCTACAATGCCTAGGTTTGTGCCGAACTCGCCTTCGGCTCGCTCGGCAATTCCTCTAGAATTCTCATTTTTAAAGAAATCTAGTGTGCCCGTGTTGTTAAAATTTGCAATTGAGAATTCGGCACAGCCCTAGACGAGTAGAAGTTATCCTAGGGTGATTTTTCTAAGTTGAACTGCTACCATGCCTAGGTTTGTGCCGAACTCGCCTTCGGCTCGCTCAGCAATTCCTCTAGAATTCTCATTTTTAAAGAAATCTAGTGTGCCCGTGTTGTTAAAATTTGCAATTGAGAATTCGGCACAGCCCTAGACAGAGTAGAAGTTATCCTAGGATGATTTTTCTAAGCTGAACTGCTACCATGCCTAGGTTTGTGCCGAACTCGCCTTCGGCTCGCTCGGCAATTCCTCTAAAATTCTCATTTTTAAGAAATCTAGTGTGCCCGTGTTGTTAAAATTTGCAATTGAGAATTCGGCACAGCCCTAGACAGAGTAGAAGTTATCCTAGGATGATTTTTCTAAGCTGAACTGCTACCATGCCTAGGTTTGTGCGGAACTCGCCTTCGGCTCGCTCGGCAATTCCTCTAGAATTCTCATTTTTAAGAAATCTAGTGTGTCCGTGTTGTTAAAATTTGCAATTGAGAATTCGTCACAGCTCTAGACAGAGTAGAAGTTTTCCTAGGGTGACTTTTCCTAAGCTGAACTTCTACCATGCCTCGGTTTGTGCCGAACTCGCCTTCGGCTCGCTCGGCAATCCCTCCAGAATTCTCATTTTTAAAGAAATCTAGTGTGCCCGTGTTGTTAAAATTTGCAATTGAGAATTCGGCACAGCCCTAGACAGAGTAGAAGTTATCCTAGGGTGATTTTTCTAAGTTGAACTGCTACCATGCCTAGGTTTGTGCCGAACTCGCCTTCGGCTCGCTCGGCAATTCCTCTAGAATTCTCATTTTTAAAGAAATCTAGTGTGCCCGTGTTGTTAACATTTGCAATTGAGAATTCGGAACAGCCCTAGACAGAGTAGAAGTTATCCTAGGATGATTTTTCTAAGCTGAACTGCTACCATGCCTAGGTTTGTGCCGAACTCGCCTTCGGCTCGCTCGGCAATTCCACTAGAATTCTCATTTTTAAGAAATCTAGTGTACGCGTGTTGTTAAAATTTGCAATTGAGAATTCGGCACAGCCCTAGACAGAGTAGAAGTTTTCCTAGGGTGATTTTTTTAAGCTGAATTGCTACCATGCCTAGGTTTGTACCGAACTCCCCTAATTCCTCTAGAATTCTCATTTTTAAAGAAATCTAGTGTGTCCGTTGTTAAAATTTGCAATTGAGAATTCGGCACAACCCTGGACAGAGTAGAAGTTTTCGTAGGGTATTTTTCTAAGCTGAACTTCTACCATGCCTAGGTTTGTGCCGAACTCGCCTTCGGCTCGCTCGGCGGTCTCTTTAGCATTCTGATTTTTAAGGAAATCTAGTGTGCCCGTGTTGTCAAAATTTAAAAGTGCAAGAAGAATGCCGAGCGAGCCGAGGGCGGGGTGACATTTTTACATAAAATCCAGTGGCGTAGTGAAAGAAGTTTTTGGGTCACCTTTCCTGACATATGACTCAATGTTAGTATTTTTTAAATGCAACACCCTGTATTTCTTAACGTCATTATTTTGCTTTCTCTTACTGATTACATGATGTATCACAACGTATAATAGAGAGGGCTAGGGAGGCCCTAAGTAGCCATGGTAGACACTAGCGCGCCCTGAGACTGATCACTGACTGGAGGTTAGGGGAAGAGTCTAAGACCATCATGGAAAGCGTTTTAACCTAGGTTTTAACGCTCCGGAGTAGGTCTAGGAAAGCCTTCAGTTGTCTCTAAAAGCCTCTGGAAAACACTGAAAAAGAGGTTTTCAAGAGCCTTTCCTGACACCTTAGGTGTTTTTCAGATTCTTCTAAAATGTTATAGATCAGACATAGAGCGCTTTAAAGAGTGCACTTGAATCTTCTAAAGCTTTCTAGAATTTCTTAAATGTTTTTTTTAGATTCCTAAGGAACTTGAGATCGGAAATGGTTGAGAAATCTCTGCAAAGGGACTATAAGAGTCCTTAAGAGCTTTCAAGTGCTCTTGTAAGACTCCAAAGTACGCTTGACAGACTACTTTGTAGAGCTTTCGGACTTGAAGAACCTGGTACCCAGGAAGCTCTCAGAACCCTTAGAAGTTATAACTTAGATTTGCCGTTAGCCTTGAAGAAGATGATTTTTGGGCAGCTGTCAGCGTGGAACATAGAAAAGCATATTTTTTTATTGTTCCGAAATTGACATTAACAGAGGTCGTAGATTGGACCCATGAGGTACCCCCATAGGTACGTGACTTACCGTGTACAGAACTGGCTGTGGAGTGCTGCAACGAATAAAGGTACTCCATGTGAGGCGGCAGACGGTAGGCAGGGTGCAGCTCCCGTCCTAGCAGTTGGAGGCCGCCTCCAGGACTACCGCTCACCCTGCAAAGAAACAAAATATTACGATCGTTAATTAAATACGCAATAAAAGGCGAGCTCCATATAAAATATTATTACGAATTAATTACGCGTTAATGAATAAACTCGACGATTACCATTACTTATAGCAAATAGGGCAAATAATTGCGCATAGTATCAGGTTTTATTGGTATAAGTAAGTGTTTACTGACATCGGTTTTTTTCCAAGACTGGTACCAGTCGCGATAACTCTGTCATTAATTGTGGCTTGCGTCATTCATCACGAAATTAATACTCAAGCGCAAAAGGGCGCATAATCTACAGGTTCCCGATCTAGAATTTAGCCGAAGAAGGACAATAGTCAGCTTGTCCTGCCCAAATGTAAATTTTTGTTGCAATTGGTATTTAATTCGGTGACGAAAAAATGAAGTAAGTACGAATTAGAGCAGGGCGCACAATCTAACACCAACAAAATGGCGTTCATTTTGCCTCAACGGATAAAGGCACAAAAAGTGCTTAATTAAGAGAAAATTAAGAAAAATCGACCTGAACTCAAAATTGCCTTCGAACTGCACGTAATTAGCAATTACTTTGCATATGAAAAAATTCATTTACTAATTAGGGAAAGGCTGATTAGGAAATTATGGATAAAAAACCGCATAATTCGGGGGTAATTAAGAAAAAAATTGGCCTGCACTCTAAATTGCAATTGAAGTGCTCGTAATTGGCACTTAATTTGTACACAAAAAAGTCATTTGCGATGTCGGGGAGGTCCGATTAAGGAATTTGACTGTAACTTATACACTATCAGGGCGCTTAATTTTGTCTGAATGGATAAAACCGCATAATTCGGGGGTAATTAAGAAAAAATTGACCTGTACTCTAAATTGCGGTTGAAGTGCTCGTAATTGGCACTTAATTTGTATTCAAAAAGGTCATTTGCAATTTCGGGGAGGTCCGATTAAGGAATTTGACTGTAACTTATACACTATCGGGGCGCTTAATTCTGTCTCAATGGATAAAACCGCATAATTCGGGGGTAATTAAGAAAAAATTGACCTGTACTTTAAATTGCAATTGAAGTGCTCGTAATTGGCACTTAATTTGTACACAAAAAAGGTCATTTGCAATTTCGGGGAGGTCCGATTAAGGAATTTGACTGTAACTTATACACTATCGGGGCGCTTAATTCTGTCTCAATGGATAAAACCGCATAATTCGGGGGTAATTAAGAAAAAATTGACCTGTGCTTTAAATTGCAATTGAAGTGTTCGTAATTGGCGCTTAATTTGTACACAAAATAGTCATTTGTGATTTCGGGGAGGTCCGATTAAGAAATTAGACTGTAACTTATACACTATCGGGGCGCTTAATTTTGTCTCAATGGATAAAACCGCATAATTCGGGGGTAATTAAGAAAAAAATTGGCCTGTACTCTAAATTGCAATTGAAGTGCTCGTAATTGGCACTTAATTTGTACACAAAAAAGTCATTTGCGATTTCGGGGAGGACCGATTAAGGAATTAGGCTGTAACTTATACACTATCGGGGCGCTTAATTTTGTCTCAATGGATAAAACCGCATAATTCGGGGGTAATTAAGAAAAAAATTGACCTGTACTCTAAATTGCAATTGAAGTGCTCGTAATTGGCACTTAATTTGTACACAAAAAAGTCATTTGCGATTTCGGGGAGGACCGATTAAGGAATTAGGCTGTAACTTATACACTATCGGGGCGCTTAATTTTGTCTCAATGGATAAAACCGCATAATTCGGGGGTAATTAAGAAAAAAATTGGCCTGTACTTTAAATTGCAATTGAAGTGCTCGTAATTAGCACTTAATTTGTACACAAAAAAGTCATTAGCGATTTCGGGGAGGTCCGATTAAGGAATTAGACTGTAACTTATACACCATTGGGGCGCTTAATTTTGTTTCAACTGATAAAGGCTCAAAAGACGGATAATTAGCGAAAAATTAAAAAAAATCGACCTGAACCAAAATCATGCTTAATTAGATGCAATTTAGATATTCTAATTCTAAGTCACAGGGCGTGAGTTTTCCGAGGAATGATTTTTATGCGACGCACATTTGGCGCACAATTATGTTTGATATTAGCCTATACACATGTGAGAATTTTTGCGTTCTTCTACCGTAATTCGGCAATTATGCGCACGTGGGCGAAAGAAGGGGCAGTGTGCGCTCAGCTTTAGATTCTGAACTGCGTGCAAATGCGAAGAACAATCGCGCTGCTCTAAATTCTATTAATTTTTCGCGAGCGATTTATGAATCACCTCGTACAGTACATATGAAACGATTAAGGTAACCGATAAATCGAAGTAAAAGCTGGTAATTGGCACGAAGGCGATGTTGCGTCGTGAAGTTCTCCAATCTCAACGGCGAATCGCTGAATTAAATATTCATGAATGGAGACGTACGTTGTTTCGTACACTAAAAGGCACTCCTTGTTTAGACGCTGTCGCCGTTTTATGCGGAAAAACGCTCAAATTTGTTATTCGTCGATTCACACCTGCTAAAGCCCGCAACACACCGCGCGCGCCCCGCTTAACTTTCCGGGAATGTCCCCGTCCGTAATTCGAATCAATTAAATCTCGGTCCGCGCGATGCATACTTAAAGAGTTCGATTTGCATAAAACACGCCATGTCCGAGCAAGGTGTGTTTAAAGCGGTATCTAATTCCATGGCGGTGGCGGGCGACGGCGGCGGCGGCGACTCATTAACATTCTCCAAATCAATCGAGTGAGGTGTTAATAGTTCTCGAATCATAAATTTTCGTATAAAAGTTTTAAAAACGCGACGGCGACAACTGTATAAAACCGCCCACACGTCGAGGTGCGAACCAAACACGGGTTATTCGAATGCGATTGTCGGCCGTACAGGAAAAAAATGCGGTCGTGTGAGCCAAATCGAACGCTCGACGTTTTCATCCCCTACGCTCGCGGCGAGTGGGTAACAGGCGAGCTGTAGGCACGACTCGCTTGTTTGAATTTCACTTTTATTTAACCATAAAAATCGGATGGCGTGTTTATATTGACCGTAACTTTTTTTTTGTCGATCGAGGTTTGATCGTTTCGTTAGATAGGAGTTCTGTACACCTCCCGGTAATATTTTTATATCGATCGATTTAAGATCGTAGAGGGCACTTTCAAACAAGTTTCAAAAATATTTTTTCCTACACCAAAATCGCCTTGCTAGCACTTCTTGGACAATGACACGATGCGTTTAGTTGTTTTTCCTGCAAAAGAGTGACTTCTAGGTAACATTTTTTCGGTTTTCGTCCGCCCAAAATCTCATGAATATTTTTGAATTTTTGGATTCTTGAAAAACAGTTTTTGAAAAATTCTTAAAAATTGGAATAATTAGGGATCGTTAGATAAATGAATTCGTTAGCGAGATAAACGGCGAGCAGGTGGGAGACCAAAAATCTCGAGGGATCGTCAGTTTCGGCGTTAATCGTCGACCGTAGGTGTTCTAATTCAATAAAATCGATTCGAACAGCATTCACATCTAAAATAATCGGCTCGTTCAGTTTTATAGCGTAATTTAATTATAATATTTATTGAGGCGGGTAAGCGCATGTAAATGGGGGAATGCGCGTTTAGGTGGGTGAAAGTAATTACGTTTCGAACGTGACAAACGGGTTCAAATCCAGTCGCGTGTATTTTTTTTTCGTAGGCGATACCGCGTTTATGGGAAGTTTTCGAATATACGGCTAATTTCGTTTGTATTTAATGTGCAAAGCGCTACTATGTTGCTAATTTATGGCGCAGTTATCCTCGATCCTGTTCGAACCAATCCCACAGAATGACCTAACCTGAAACGTGATCTACAAAATAAACCAATCCACGTGCAAACTTCTGTCCTCCTGCTCCAATTAAGTAATTAAGAAACTGCATCGAATCGACCCACGTAAATTTTCTTTCACTTCTGTGTTCCTAATACAATTTCGAACAATAACAGTCAAACACACCTGATACAATCAATGAAATTGCAAGTAGTCTACTTCTAGGATCCTAATACCTCTCTAAAGAAAAATTGTACCAAAAGAATATCGCATTCAAGCTCCTGATACATTTTTTGTTTGGTATAGACTGTACTAAAGAGAACACAAAAGGTTTCGAGTGGCTATAAATTTCAGTTCCGCTCCTAATACAACCAAATTTCGTATCGACTTTATAATGAAAGCAAGATCTAACCGTTAGCTTTTGGGACAAGGTAATCTCCTTCCGAGTCGTAAGGGACTAAAACCAGGGGGGTATTTAATTTAATTTTAATTTTAATGGAAAATGGGATGGCACTTTCTAGAAAATAATTATAAGCCTAGACCAATAATTATTGAAAACATTTTTGGGGGGAGAGCGTACCACCGGGGGGTCTGGGAGGTATGGAATACCCTCCAGGAGAAAGACCTATTTGCTGACCCTTTGCAGAATATTAGTAGCTTTTAGGAAAAGGTAATCTCTGCGCAATATTCATTTCCCTATTTTGTATATTGGGGGGTATCCATACCCCCCAGACCCCCCGGTGATACCTTCACCCCCAGAACGTTAAAGCGTAAAACCTTCTTCCAAAAATTACGGTGTAAGCTGTCTGGAATACCCCCCAGTAAAAAAAGTACGATGGCCATACTCCCCAGGAAAAAGAAAGTCAATATTCATTTCCCTATTTTGTATACTGGGAGGTATTCCATACCCCCCAGACCCCCCGGTGGTACGCTGTCCCCCAAAACGTTCAATTCTTATACCTCGCTTGTGTATACCGGGGGGTCTGGGGGGATGGAATACCCCCCAGGACAAAAACCTATTTGCCGACCCTTTGCAGAATATTATTGTAGTAGCTTTTGGGAAAATGTAATCTCTGTGCTGGGGGGTATTCCATATCCTCCAGGCCCCCCGGTGGTACGCTCTTCCCCCAAAACGTTCAAATCTTATAACTCGCTTGGGTATTGTCATACATAGGAAGAGGAACATGGAATGGCACTTTCTAGAAAATAATCAGAAGCCTAGGCCAATAATGATTGAAAACATTTTGGGGGGAGAGCGTACCACCGGGGGGTCTGGGGGGTATGGAATACCCCCCAGAACAAAGACCTATTTGTCGACCCTTTGCAGAATAGTATTGTAGTAGCTTTTGGTAAAATGTAATCTCTGTGCTGGGGGGTATTCCATATCCTCCAGGCCCCCCGGTGGTACGCTCTTCCCCCAAAACGTTCAAATCTTATAACTCGCTTGGGTATTGTCATACATAGGAAGAGGAACATGGAATGGCACTTTCTAGAAAATAATCAGAAGCCTAGGCCAATAATTATTGAAAACATTTTGGGGGGAGAGCGTACCGGGGGGTCTGGGGGGTATGGAATACCCCCCAGAACAAAGACCTATTTGTCGACCCTTTGCAGAATAGTATTGTAGTAGCTTTTGGTAAAATGTAATCTCTGTGCTGGGGGGTATTCCATCCAGGCCCCCGGTGGTACGCTCTCCCCCCAAAACGTTCAAATCTTATAACTCGCTTGGGTATTGTCATACATAGGAAGAGGAACATGGAATGGCACTTTCTAGAAAATAATCAGAAGCCTAGGCCAATAATTATTGAAAACATTTTGGGGGGAGAGCGTACCACCGGGGGGTCTGGGGGGTATGGAATACCCCCCAGAACAAAGACCTATTTGCCGACCCTTTGCAGAATATTATTGTACTAGCTTTTGGGAAAATGTAATCTCTGTGCTGGGGGGTATTCCATATCCTCCAGGCCCCCCGGTGGTACGCTCTTCCCCCAAAACGTTCAAATCTTATAACTCGCTTGGGTATTGTCATACATAGGAAAAGGAACATGGGATGGCACTTTCTAGAAAATAATCAGAAGCCTAGGCCAATAATTATTGAAAACATTTTGGAGGGGAGCGTACCACCGGGGGGTCTGGGGGATTTGGAATACCCCCCAGAACAAAGACCTATTTGTCGACCCTTTGCAAAATACTATTGTAGTAGCTTTTGGGAAAATGTAATTTCTGTGCTGGGGGGTATTCCATACCCCCCAGGCCCCCCGGTGGTACGCTCTCCCCCCAAAACGTTCAAATCTTATAACTCGCTTGGGTATTGTCATACATAGGAAAAGGAACATGGGATGGCACTTTCTAGAAAATAATCATAAGCCTAGGCCAATAATTATTGAAAACATTTTGGGGGGAGAGCGTACCACCGGGGGGTCTGAGGGGTTTGGAATACCCCCCAGGACAAAGACCTATTTGTCGACCCTTTGCAAAATACTATTGTAGTAGCTTTTGGGAAAAAGGTATTCATTGTGCTGGGGAACCATACCTCCCAGACCCGGATAGGCTGTTGTATTAGGGACACAGGACTTTGGCTTAGATTTTTGAAAACACGTATCAGGATGCGTATTCCTGCTCCTAGTACGCTGAGTATCAGCCGGCAAACTCTTATACAACATTTCTGGTTACCAGGAGAACATGACGTCCCTAATACGTGGAGTATCAGATGGCAATCTCTTGTAAATTTTGTTGGGCTATCAGGAAAACATGAAGAACGAGGTGCTCTGTTTATCACCACGTTCCACCGTGGTTATATTCTTAAAAATCTTGGATCAGGAGAATATAATGTGACAGGACGTCGCGCAAGTCTGTTTAAAATTCTAATTTCCTACCGTTTTGGGTTCTAAAGAAAGTATGTCAATACGCGTGGGCTAATTATATACTTCTTCAAATATTGACGGTGTTTGGTAACAACACGATCCGCTTTGTTAGTCTAAGATTAACTTAATCTCTATCTACTATCTGGCCGTAAGGTCCTTTTAGAATGATGGAAATAAACCGCCGCGGTTTGAACACAAATTTGCTGGTTTCGAGACAAAGTGAAGCGTGTCCATGGCCCGCGATTATTTGACAATGACGATCGGTAAGTGCGCGTTGCACGTGTCAAGAGTAGTTAACGACCGTGTGGTTACAGCGGGATTGTCCTCGATGAGCAGCGGAATGCACTACGGGTGGACGTCGACGGCCCTCCCCCAGATCGTCGGTAATAATTCCCACATACCAACAACGAGCGAGGACGAGTACTGGATCTCAGTGAGCTACTTTGGAGGAAGCTTGATCGCGAGCGCACTGGTGTCGCTGTTGATCAGGTACATCGGCCAGAAGGGCGCCATAATTCTGGCGACGCTCCTATTGATAATCTCCTGGGTGATAATCGCCTGCGCGCAGAGTATCGCCGAAATAATCATCGCGAGAATCTTCTCCGGAGCCGGGGACGCGATCCTCCTCTGCGCGCTTACCGTCTACGTTGCGGAAATATCGAAACCGTCGATCAGGGGCTTCTTCCTTTCTAGCATGATGGTCTACGCAATGTTCGGTATACTCGCCGAGAACGTCATCGGTACCTTCTTCGCATTTAGGACGTGCGCGATTATCTCCGCCGTACTTCCTTCGGCGGTCTTCCTCTGTCTTTTCTTCGTGCCTGAAAGTCCCTACAGATTGGTCTCGAAAGGTAATATGGACGGCGCCAGAACTGCGTTGACGAAACTCCGCAACACTGACGTCGTAGACGATGAGCTCGAACGAATCCTCTCGATGATTTACGATGCAAAGGTCAGCGTCGACTCGTACCTGGAGCTGTTCACCTCCAGTTACAATCGCAGAACCGTCTACATCTGCTTCACCCTGATCTCCGTGCACGTATTCAGCGGGAACATTGTCTTCATATTCCACACGCAGGAGATCTTCCAAGACGTCGGCGGGCCTCTAGCGAACTGGATCTCCTCTTTGATCTACCTAACGGCTCAGCTCATCTTCACACTAGTAGGACTGGGCTTGGTGGACAAGTATGGACGGAGACCTCTTCTTTTAATTTCAACAGCGGGGGTCACCTTGAGTTTGGCTATCGAGTCCGTCTACTTCTACCTGAAAGACTGTCTACACCTCAACATGGAAAGCCTCAACTTCGTTCCGCTCCTAGGTATGATGCTGTTCCTGCTGGGCTTCAGTGTGGGATTGCAAATCATACCGGTCGTCATTTCCGGGGAGCTCTTCGCGCCGAATGTCAAATTCTTCGCGCTAAGTTTATACGAGGGGTACTTCTGCGTGATCAGCGTGGTCGGGTTAAAGTTATTCCAGATTAGCCTGGATGCCTACGGACTCTACGCCCCGTTTTTATTGTTTACGCTGTGCGCATTCTTTGGATTCCTATTCGTGTACTACTTTGTGCCAGAAACGAAGCAAAAGACGTTGGAAGAAATTCAGATGGAGATTGTGGGAAAGGACGACAGATTGATTTGCAACTCCAAGCAGTAGGTTGCTCGGATCAAGCAAAACGGCAAAACAAAAAGGTAGGAAATCAACAGTCGCAAGTAGTGAATTATAGTTAATTTTTCCAGCAATAAAAAAATACCAGATTTCGAACACCTCTAACAAGTATATTGTGTAGCAGGAGATCCAAGTAGGTATTACCTTAAAGACAGTGGCGTACTACTTTATCTATTACACACACCTTTCAAGATACGTTGTTCGGTATCATCTACATCTTGCCCCTGCGATATTCACCACAGGAACTTTAGAGGGTGAACAATAATTTGTTATTCATTTTTGTAGGCAGCACGAAGTGATATAGTGATTGTTATATTGTGTTGTGTTGTGCACATTTTTCCAATTTGCATCGCCGGGTGACCAACAGTGTATTTTTCATATTTGTTGACATAGTGGAAACGCGAGTTAATATCAACGTACTTAATTTGTTCAGTTGTTAAGGACGCAGAAGGCCTAAGCATGACGAAAATTGATACGAGAGTTGTTGTGATATGCGTATTCTTGCTATTAGTCAGTTAGATTTGTATCAGAAGAACATACTTTATCCGAGTATATATCCGAGTAACCGCTTCACATTTTTGCGTTTCTGTAATCCTGATACAACAATTTAAAAAAAAAAGACTTCCCCTGATACAAGGATTTTTAAAAGAATATTTGCGTTAGGTTAGGAGAACCTATTACGCCACTAGATACGTGCCAAATACCTCCTTCCATTACTGTTAGTTTGATACGAAGAAAATCAGGCAAACATAGCATAGTATGTCACAAGGTGTCTAACAATACTTACTGCACCCTATTGAGTTTCTATTATCCGGATACATTAATATTTGAAACAAAAGTGTGACTGCCTCTCCTTGGGACTTTGCTATCCTTCCCGAGATATGGCCGAGGAACAGTAAATAAACATTATTATTAATATTATTATTATTATTCGTTCACCCGGTACAACAGAAGCTCATTTTAAAAAATGTTGGTAGTACCAAAATTATAAAAAAATAAAAGTTGGCAAGTTATGATACATTCCCAATTGTACCTGTTGCATTTACATGAGAAGACTCTTTCGCAAAAAGAAGTAAGGGTATCAGGAATTCAGGAGCGAATCAAATAGGAGAACAAGTTCACCAGGAATGAACCCAATCAGAATTTGAACATGTCATTATAAAGTATCGTACGTAATCAACAGACACCAGTTTGCATTTTATAGTCTCCTATTACAAAAACCTTACTAACGGGTATCAGAGGGCCGAAAGGTTAAGCGGGTTAACAGATACATTTTCCCGAAAATTGAAAGTTACAAACAAGCAGTTACTTTTGGAAATCATATGTGCTCCTGGTACACAGACAAGTTGCCTTGGCGACAAGACAACATAAAACGAAATGAAAAGGTACTTGTTTCATAATTTTAGTCAGTAAAACCCAGGCGGAGTAGAAGATTAGCTTAAGAAAATTTACACCAGCAAACCTCTACTCTGCCTAGGGTTGTGCCAAACTCGTCTACGGCGCAGTGGGCATGAGCTTTGCAATTATCATGTTTAATAGAGTATAAGTTTTCATGGGTGACTGAACTTCTACTATACCTAGGTATGTGCCTGAAAGTCCCTAAAATTATGGCCTCTAACAAAACCGCAAACTAGATTTGTTTAAAAACTAATGATTTCATAGGCATAGGCACAACCCTGGCCAAAGTAGAAATTTAGCTTAAAAAAAGTCAACCCAGGCACACCTCTACTCTGCCGAGGTTTGTGCCGAACTCGCCTTCGGCTCGCTCGGCAATGCCTTTGGAATTATGGTCTGCAACAACACATACAACGTAGATTTGTTTAAAAATGATAATTCGATAGGCATTGCCGAGCGAGCCGAAGGCGAGTTCGGCACAAACCTAGGCAGAGTAGAAGTTCGACTTAAGAAAAGCCCATCCACGCAAATCTCTACTCTGCCGAGGCGATTTCGGCACAAACCCGGTCAGAGTAGAAGTTTGAAGCCAACCCAGGTACACCTCTACTCTGCCTAGGTTTGTGCCGAACTCGCCTTCGTCTCGCTCGGCAATGCCTTTGGAATTATGGTCTACAACAACACATACAACGTTGATTTGTTTAAAAATGATAATTCCATAGGCATTGCCGAGCGAGCCGATGGCGAGTTCGACACAAACCTAGGCAGAGTAGAAGTTCGCCTTAAGAAAAGCCCATTCACGCAAACCTCTACTCTGCCGAGGCGATTTCGGCACAAACCCGGTCAGAGTAGAAGTTTGAAGCCAACCCAGGTACACCTCTACTCTGCCTAGGTTTGTGCTGAACTCGCCTTCGACTCGCTCGGCAATGCCTTTGGAATTATGGTCTACAACAACACATACAACGTTGATTTGTTTAAAAATGATGATTCCATAGGCATTGCCGAACTCGCCTTCGGTTCGGTCGGGGTGCTAGTTAGACGTCAAGGCACCACTCAACTAGTTTAAAGCTCAAACGTATAGTTAAAGTCCTTCCTTAAATATAAAGACACAAACTTATACAGGGATCAAACTCAAATTACATAAACTTTAATCCAGGCAATGCATTTTGGCATTGGAAATGCTTATGTTTTGTATGTGGGTATGAAGTTACCAGTTTAGTTGAATCAGAAAAGGCAGCGGTGTCTTAATAGTACGGAATTGTTTTGTCAATTCCAATCTAAAATTCTCGCACATCTCCTTCAATAGGATTACGAGCATGTTATAATGAGGCTTATTATTGTGAAAGTGTACGTTTGCGACACGAGCGAGCTTGCGAGCGAGTGGAGCAAGTGATCCCGGGTGACTCACTGTGCCAAATCGTAATCCAATTCAATTATCTCCTTCACCTTTCACTTTTCAGTGTTCAACTACTTTTTCTTAATAGTAGCAACAGAGACCAAACAGGATGACCGAAGAAGTACGCCTAAACGAGTACATCCTAGAGTGCTTCAGGATAAATAAGGATGGGGATTGCCTGTTTGGAGCGAGTGGGCATCAACTGAGGGGATTCCCAGTGACATCAGGACCTCACAGGAAATTAACCAACAGGATTACAGAAGAAACTAACGCATACATCAGGGAAATCCTGGAAGATTTCTACCCACAGTTGGTAGTAAACGTAGTGGAATTCCCTAAATTCCTTCCCCTTTCCTCCCTCGTTGCTATACTCATGTGTGCCAAATTTTGCTAGTGCTACTCAAGACTATTCTTCAATTTGAACAAACTAAGTAATGGAGCGAAAATATTTCGATTGCAATTTGATCTCGCTCGTGCGTTTTACTCAAGTGCCCAAGAAACCCATAAATTAAGGCTTGCGCAAATGAAAAACGCACCGGCTTTAAAAAAAACGGAATACATTAATTCTGCCCGAGTAAATTTTAGTTCATTGTTCGATGTGAACAACCTGAGACCCGACTTCGTCCTGCTCCGAAAATATATTTGGCACTTTTCTGAATAAATAAACGCTATACAGCTTACAGGTGTTTTTAGCCGAGCGTACGTCGACTTTGAAGAAACGCATCGGGCGAGTACAACAAAAAAAAATTAATAATCAGTGTATACTATAAGAATCAACAAACCGACGATGATGATGATGATGAAGTTACTTAAAGCCGGTTTTCTACGAAGGTATAATAAAGTCGTTTATCATTTTAACTCAAAGAACTGCCCACTCGATATCCGATATACCTTATAAAATTTTCATTTAAATTTATCGATATTTTATTCTAATCCGAAATTTTCTGGAGATTAAAATTTAAGAGGCGCGCTGCAGCGGACGAAAGAATGCGAGAGGGTATCGGAATTCTAACATCCGATTTTAACACAGAAATAAAAATTCTTAATTGGGAGTTTTCGAAACGGGTTTACGATTTTCGATCAATTAGTGGCGGCGGAGGCGGCGAGGGGGGATTATTCTAATAAAGCCGCCTTTAATTAAGACTCGTACAGAGTGGATGAAGATGTTAATGCGTATTTGCGCTAAAGGGGTGAGATCCGTTAGTGGAGTGGGCGACGGTGAAGGGGCGTACCACCTGCCGATAAAAATCCCCTCGGGTTCGACGCGATACGATCGGAACACGGACCGTCCATTTCACACACCAGAAACGCTGTTTATCTTGCCAAGCCCTAAGCTAAACAACCACCACTTGTTTAAGATATCATTTCAATGCCGCATAATTCATTCCCCATTGTGCCCCTGACAGTGAACGAAGAAGCGTTTACCTGCATCCCTACCAACGCGTGCAGTAGACAAATTTCCACGCTCGTCGTCCACCTCGCGGTAATAACAACAAGAAGCACCGAGCGCAATTCACCTGCACCAAAACCCATCTCACTAATCACCTCGCGCCCCCCCCGAAAGACACAAAATCGCGCCCGAGTAAGAGATGTGGCCAAAAGCGCGAGTACGACTGAACTTTGTGTTGTCTTGAAGAAGTCGAGGTCTCTCGGAGGGAGAGTCGACCACCCAAGCTGCTAGACCAATCTCTGCACAGAATGTCTTATTCTCGGACGGACATTATAATAAAACACAATCACGAGGAAATAAGACCGCGAAGATGATTGAGTTGTGGATTGCAAATTGCCCTGGGCGGTTTTCGAGTTTGCCCATAAAGCGCCCGTAACGGTCCTAATGATCCATCCGTAACGTAATGACATCTCGTAATACGATGCGCTCCACCCCTCCACTTCCACCTCAACTCATCCCTAAATCTGAAACTGCATCGTCAATTCTGAATGAATTAATCCCCGAGACCATTGACGTGGATCCCAAAGAGAATTAATTTTATGTCACTTTTTTACATAAACATAATGTACTTACGTTTACGTCTTTAATTAGAATTTGACACCAACATAAGCCGCATTTCCCACCTTATGCCTTCAGCAAACTTTTGAAATCCAATCAATTATCAAATTAGAAGAAAAAAAAATGAGTTTTCAACAAGATGGGGCTCCGCAACATTATGTTTATAATACTATATAAATTTTATACAATCAGAACCTGAAATGTGTAAATGTATTTTTAACATTGATTCATATTATAATAACCTGTCAAAAGCTGTGAATATTATTTTTAAGCAAATCTAGTTTGCCTCTGTTGTTAAAGATCATAACTTCTACTCTGCCTAGGTTTGTGCCGAACTCGCCTTTGGCTCGCTCGGCAATGTCTCATTTCCCCGCTAATTTTTCCAAGCCCGTTCCCCTGGCTCTAGTCTCGCTCCCCTTTTTTCCCAACTGAAGACAGTCATAGTTACTCCCGCCGGCTACTCGCGCTTTTTTGACTCTCTTGATAACGTTGATATTCAGTACACTGAGCAGGTAGCGCACAAAAATTGTTTAAAAATAATAATTCCATAGGCCCAAACCTAGGCATAGTAAAGGTTCAGCTTAAGCAAGGTCGCCCTGGCAAGAATCTACTACGCCTAGGTTTGCAATTATCATTATTAACAACCCAGGCAAACTAGACATTCAAAAATAATGGTTCCGAAGTCATTTCCGAGCGAGCCAAAACCGAATTCTGCGCAAACCTGGACAAGAGTAGAGATTTGCTAAGGAGACTTTTCTTAAGCTGAACCTCTACGCT